ATTGACAGTAGTGTTTCAGCACAGACTGGACTGGCGTCTTACCTTAGCTCCGCCCTGAGTGACGTCACACAGACAGGCCCCTCCCACGATAGTTTGATTGACAGTTGCGTTTCAGCACAGACTGAACTGACGTCTTACCTTAGCTCCGCCCTGAGTGAGCTGTCATCAGTCCGCCATTGTTTCCCCGCTGGAGCAGATGAATGAATGAACAGCAGTCGTTATTTACTCCCGACATCTGAGCCGCTGAACTCGCAGTGGATTACATTTGTTTCTGAAGGGAATGCGCCCCCGATCTACATAAATGCATCTATGTTCGCGCAAATCATTCATGATCCAGCCTCATCTACAGAAGTGAGTATAATGTTTTGTAATTAATCTTTTTTTCCTAATAATGTGCTAATTAGCAAGTTTCAGGATGAATGCAGCTAAAGTGAACAGTCTCTCTGAGAGCAGCTCGGAAGAGAGGGGCGGGGTCAGCAGAGCTCATTAACATTTAAAGGGAAATGCTACAAAAACGGCTTGATCTGAAAAGAGTTGTTTTTGACAGGGGAAAAAAATGTGTTTTTTCCACTACCATTGAGAAATTTTAACCAAACTATGTTACAGACTTTTCATTAAGACCCCAAAGAATCATATCAACTTGTGCAAAATGGGCATCCTATGACCCCTTTCAGAATAAAGTGTTACCCAAAATATAGCTAACCACCTTCAGATATAGCTAATTCAACTAAAAACCTGCCAAGATCCAAGACAATGACAGAAAATCCAAACCATTAAGCACGTCAGACTACCTCAGCTCATTCACTCATATTAAATTGACTAAATAATGTGTTTTACTGCCTTAAAAGTAAAGTAAAAATGTAAAGATAGATGACTTTGTTTTCTGAAGCGAGACATTGAGATGGTCTTGTTTCTCCAATGCATCTGTTATTATTCTATAGCTACATCACTTTTAATGGGTAATAACGCTAAATCACTCATCCACACTTGGTCACGTTCATATGTGCCACAAAAGGAAACATTCCTGTTGTCCTTCCACTTCTAATTCAGAATCTTTCTTGTCCTGCTGACTCTGTGCAGGTCAGACAGCTCCTGCCAGTCACTTGATTCGGGTGGAGGGCAGTAATCTGTGTCAGTATGTGGATGATCCTGTGACAGGCCGACAGAGTGCTCTCGTTCCTTATGAGGCTCCACAGGTTAGTTCAATCATTGCAGATGCATGTAAGTCTCAGTGTTATTTTAGTGTCATTGAGATACTTTTATGGTTTTTAATAATATTTTAATATGAATACAATATTAGAAATGTTACATAGAAATATTGATATTTGAGTTTTTATTATTATATATTATAAATTGTGAGTTTATTTATGTCTAAATAGTTTTTATATTTTCTGAATACTTTTTTTAATGATTTATTTTTTTGAATCCATATTGTTCTGTACTCTTATGCTTCATAGAATGCATGTTCTAGTTCTGTTTTAGGTCGCATACACTTGACTGTTGCAGTCACAGCAGCACACAAACATTTGGGAATTCTTGCAGATCCATATGCATTATTGCACATGTTTACACATACGTGTTTGATGGTAAAATGACGAGTCGAAGCATGCAGCGATCATTCAGTTCAGGATGCTAAACACGTTCTGACTGGCTATAAATAACCCAGGGATTATTCTCAGTAACAATACCTGTAGTTACTCCTCTTTTTACACTATTGCTTTATTTGTGTTAAATATCAAATGTTTGGTGCCATCTAGAGGTATATATTTCTTACATACTCTCAGTGCTCATGTTCGGTCAACAAACACGTTGCTTTTTGGAACTGTTTCTTTTATAATGATTTATTCAAATAAATGTATTAAGTGTTTAAAAAAAAGTCACAAACAAAAATTATTTCACTAAATTGCATTAAAAACACACGTAAAGTAAAAAGGGACTTCTTGAACATCATTGATGACTCGGATGAGTCAGTAAGTGTTTTGGTTACACTCGCGTTTGTTAACATTAGTTAAGGCATTAACTAAAATTAACTAACAATGAGCAATTCATTTGTTATAGTATTTATTATTGTTTGTTAACATAGCTTAATAAAAATTTGTGCTGTCAAACGATTAATCGCATCCAAAATAAAAGTTTTTGTTTACATAATATATGTCCGTGTACTGTGTATATTTATTATGTATATATAAATTAGGCCTGGGCGATAAAACAGTATCGGTATTTATCGACGGTACACCTTCATCGATAACGATGGAAAACATTTTCGATATAGCGCACCGTATAGGCACGTGCTATGAGTGACACAGACAGTGCACACAAACACGAACACATGCTGAAATGAGTGCTGTGCCCACGAGACGCGCCGCTGCTGCGTTATGCATTCAAAATATTAGAGAAATATAGTAGCTCAATGCGGACAAGACCTTGATTAGGTTAAAACCGAAACCAAGCCATTCACACAAATGCATATTCAGCGCACCGTATAGGCACGTGCTATGAGTGACACAGACAGTGCACACAAACACGAACACATGCTGAAATGAGTGCTGTGCCCACGAGACGCGCCGCTGCTGCGTTATGCATTCAAAATATTAGAGAAATATAGTAGCTCAATGCGGACAAGACCTTGATTAGGTTAAAACCGAAACCAAGCCATTCACACAAATGCATATTCGGCGCATTTTTTAGACGGACAAATATGACTGCTGCACTCGCGTCTCACAAGATGTAGCCATGCTTTTTTCTAAACTTTTAGGAAAAACGTCGCAAATCTGTGAAGGTTTCTTCCATTTCACTGCGTCACTGCGTTTTTAAATGCAATCTGTGTGAATGGCGCTTCGACTCTTTGTATTAAGCAATGCATAAATACATGATGCTGTTTTGTTCATATATGTATTATGCAACTTACGAAATTATATTTGATTTATATATGTTAATTTAGACGTTATGCACTTATAAATTGTGAGTTTATTTATGTCTAAATAGTTTTTATATTTTCTGAATACTTTTTTTAATGATTTATTTTTTTGAATCCATATTGTTCTGTACTCTTATGCTTCATAGAATGCATGTTCTAGTTCTGTTTTAGGTCGCATACACTTGACTGTTGCAGTCACAGCAGCACACAAACATTTGGGAATTCTTGCAGATCCATATGCATTATTGCACATGTTTACACATACGTGTTTGATGGTAAAATGACGAGTCGAAGCATGCAGCGATCATTCAGTTCAGGATGCTAAACACGTTCTGACTGGCTATAAATAACCCAGGGATTATTCTCAGTAACAATACCTGTAGTTACTCCTCTTTTTACACTATTGCTTTATTTGTGTTAAATATCAAATGTTTGGTGCCATCTAGAGGTATATATTTCTTACATACTCTCAGTGCTCATGTTCGGTCAACAAACACGTTGCTTTTTGGAACTGTTTCTTTTATAATGATTTATTCAAATAAATGTATTAAGTGTTTAAAAAAAAGTCACAAACAAAAATTATTTCACTAAATTGCATTAAAAACACACGTAAAGTAAAAAGGGACTTCTTGAACATCATTGATGACTCGGATGAGTCAGTAAGTGTTTTGGTTACACTCGCGTTTGTTAACATTAGTTAAGGCATTAACTAAAATTAACTAACAATGAGCAATTCATTTGTTATAGTATTTATTATTGTTTGTTAACATAGCTTAATAAAAATTTGTGCTGTCAAACGATTAATCGCATCCAAAATAAAAGTTTTTGTTTACATAATATATGTCCGTGTACTGTGTATATTTATTATGTATATATAAATTAGGCCTGGGCGATAAAACAGTATCGGTATTTATCGACGGTACACCTTCATCGATAACGATGGAAAACATTTTCGATATAGCGCACCGTATAGGCACGTGCTATGAGTGACACAGACAGTGCACACAAACACGAACACATGCTGAAATGAGTGCTGTGCCCACGAGACGCGCCGCTGCTGCGTTATGCATTCAAAATATTAGAGAAATATAGTAGCTCAATGCGGACAAGACCTTGATTAGGTTAAAACCGAAACCAAGCCATTCACACAAATGCATATTCGGCGCATTTTTTAGACGGACAAATATGACTGCTGCACTCGCGTCTCACAAGATGTAGCCATGCTTTTTTCTAAACTTTTAGGAAAAACGTCGCAAATCTGTGAAGGTTTCTTCCATTTCACTGCGTCACTGCGTTTTTAAATGCAATCTGTGTGAATGGCGCTTCGACTCTTTGTATTAAGCAATGCATAAATACATGATGCTGTTTTGTTCATATATGTATTATGCAACTTACGAAATTATATTTGATTTATATATGTTAATTTAGACGTTATGCACATTTTTTATAGACGGTTGTTATTTCATTGCACTGAATAAACAATTTAATGCGCTGCAATTAGCAAATGGCTGCAATATAACAAAGAGTGAAAAATTTAAGGGGGTCTGAATACTTTCCGTACCCACTGTATTTATATATACATAATAAATATACACAGTACGCACACATATACTTTGCTGCCGTACCATGGGTGCAGCAGGCACAATGATATTACGCAGCGCCTGAAAATAGTCCCCAGCACGCTCCCTGTGCAAGCAGGTGGTCACGTTGGTTATGTTGACGGAAGTTAGCCTATTTTCAGGCGCTGCGTAATATCATTGCGCCTGCTGCACCCATATTACAGCAGCAAAGTTCCTTGATTATTACGCCGGAATGAGAGTATAGTTCCTAGCCATATCGGCCTAGAAAATCACAACTTTTCATTTTCCGTCGGTCTTAGTACACGATGTAACTACAGAAGAGTCAAGTTTTAAATAGGAAAAATATAAAAACTCTTTGGTCATTTTTGAGCGAGATGCTAACGGTCTAATCAGATTCAATGATCTATGCTAAGCTAAGCTAAAAGTGCTACCGCCAGACCCGGAGATCGGCTGAATGGATTCGAAAACGGTAAAACTCAACTGTTTAACTCTAGGGGAGTTGGAAAATGAGCCTATTTTCAAAAATAGTGGCGTGTTGCTTTAACAAATGGACCATTATTGTAAAGTGTTACTATTTTTTTTAACTGGTTCATTTCAGTGTTCCTGAATGAACCTAAATTAATTTAGTGTTAAGTGAACTTCTCAGTGCAAATATTATTCCCTGAACAGGGTACTAAATGCTATATTTGCAATATAATGTAATGCTTCTGGAAACTGAATTTGTCTCTCTCTTTTTATCTGTTTCTCAAGGTGGGCACCGAGTTCACAACGATTCTGTATAATTTCATGTGCAACAGCAGTTGTGTCGGTGGAATGAACCGCAGGCCCATCCTCATCATCATCACGCTGGAGACACGAGAGTGAGTGAACGCCTTTACTTTCTTTCATTCAGACAAGTGTGTCTTCAGCAAAAACAATACACTGAAAATTTCCCCCGCTTCCAAATAGGTGGTTCTTAAAGGGACAGTTCACTCAAAAATGAAAATTCTGTCTTTCATTTATTTACTCTCAAGTTGTTCCAAACCTGTTTCGTTCTTCTGCTGAACACAAAAGAAGAATGTGTGTAACCAGGGCTGCGTTTCTCGATAATGATTGATCTTAGAGCTTAAGAGCAGTTTCTACGAGTCATTTTACTATCGTTCGTTATTGTTTCACGTGCGTTTTTCAAAAATGCACTTAACACAATCGCACAATTGCTTTAAGTGCTACTTAGGAGTCGCTATACGTTTGTCAAGTGCTGAAATGTCACCTTATAGAATGGCTCGTAATTGTAGTAAATGCTCGTTTATTGAAATGTTAACCTAATTTTTGGCTCACATTTAACAAAAACCCACTAATTCACTATCTTAACAAATTAGAATACTTAATAAGACCAATAAAAAAA